AAAGAAAAAGAACAATTACCCAGAGATGTTGCCTGCTCAACAGCTCTGAGTTCTGACCCAGGACTTGACGGCCACATCTGTGTATATTCTTCAAATGAAGTTGAGCCTTCAGCTGAACCACTGCAATAAACCCCACTCTGCTTTCCACTTTGCCACTAGACTGGGATCCTGGGGACTAGATGCTTGGGGGGAAAAAGTAGTGCTGAGGGGATGTGGCCTGATCAGGTAGAAGTGGGTACAGCTGAAAGGGCAGCAGCTAAGAGAGGGGCTAGGGGAAAAGGCAGGAGATTAGAAAAAGCAGCTTTTACAAAAACCAAAAATAAAAACCAAAATCATTAAAGATGCATAAAGTGACCCTTGCTCTTCTGTTGTCTCTTCTTGAAAATAGAGGTGGTGCTGCTAGGGAGCTGCTCCAGCACCGGTGTAAGACTCGAGTAGTTGCATACAATGTGTGACTCCAGATTTGGATGGGCTGAAGATTTTACCAGTGCGGGGACACGTAGCTATTCACAGGGATTCCTTGGGCCCTGTATGTTGGCATGGAGACAGGGTATGCCCCACCCAATCGAGGTGTGCTGGGGTGTAGTCAGCAGAGTACCTGCTGACATTGCCATGGTGGTGCCGGCCACCATGCCCATGGCCACGCCATTGGTCCTGGGGGCAGCAACAGGCTCCCGGTAGATGGCAGAGGGAATACTGTTGGGCTGGACGACTGTGGTATGGTGGATGACATGGGGCTGGGCAGCGTACACCGGCTGTGTATAGTAGGCTCCCTGTGCATACAGATTCTGCTGGGGGTAGGCACTTCTGATTGGATACATGGCTGTCTGATAGGGGTTGGGTGATGGGGAGTAGGGGGTTGGAGCAGTATTACTCTGGGTTGGTGGGACCTTGTATAGAGTCCCTGMAGTATATCTGAAAGCCGCAGAGGATGCTTGGTAAGTTCGGTTCTCGGTCCCGGTGTCCACTGGGAGGTGGAAGGTGCCTTCAGTGCCACAGGAAGACGAGTTCTGTGGCCAGGCCTGTTTCATCAGCAGAGTGGCTGGAGCATAACTGGAGCTATTGGTTGGGTACAGGCTGGGATTGTAGGCAGGGGCCGCTGCCGGATAGGCTGTAGGGTAACCCGTGTAGGCCATGTTCTTAGGGTTGCCATAAGGAGCCCCAGGCTGCACAGGGCTGTAAACAGGGTTCATTGTGGAAGACTGAGGATCCGGCTAGCCACTGCAGGCGAAAACGGCTGCAGAGGCGACAGGAGGCGATGCCCTTGTCTTCTCCGGAGGCTACAGCGGCGACGCTCTCGCTCCCTCGCCTGTGTCCAGTAAGGTGGCCGATGGCGCGCAGGGACTGGAGCCTCCTCCTCCTCAGCTGCTAGGCTCTGAATCCTCTGCAGTAGCGGCGGAGGAGCCCCACCTGAGTTAGTACTCTTAAGTGAGAATATTCTTTTCAAATCATTGGTAGCCTTAATTTGGTCACTTAATATGCAAGTGGTCCCAGAAAGTACAATCAGTTGTGTCTGAAGCTTTAATGCTTGTTTTTTTTTTATTAGTTACTCAAAACATTACAATGATCTTGACATATCATACATTTGATTCAAATGGGGTACATAATCTTATTTTTCCACTTGTACAGATTGCAAGATCATATTGGTTATACTGCCATGTTTATACATAGGGCCGGCCATATTAGTGTCTATTGTATTATGCTGCCCTTCTTATCCCCCCTCCTCTCCCCTGACCTCCCATCACCTCTTTCTACCCAATCTACTGTGACAAGTTTCTCTCTCTTTTTTCTTCCCTTTCACACCATCTTATATGTAATTTTGCATAACCATTAGGGTCTCCTACCATCTTCCGTGAAATTCCCCTTCTCTCTCCCATTCCCACGCACCTCTCATCCCTATTTAATGGTAATCTTCTTCTCATGCTCTTCCTCCAAGCATGTGGTATACCAATCAATGGAACATTATTTGTCAAAAATGAAGAACTGATACTTGATACCATGTGGATGAAACTTGAAAACATTATGCTCAGTGAAAGAAGTCAGATACAAAAGGTCAATGGTTTAATTTATCAATGAATTCCACAGCTGAGTTCCTTAGGTGGGATGGCCAGGATAGGCCAACCTAGAGAGAGAAAGGAGATGAGTKGTTGTCAATGTCTAGAGGGAGTGTGGCTGACTAAAGGATAGAAGTGCTTTTGGGGGTGGGTGATGAAAATGTTGTAAACTGATGATGGTGATAAATGTACAACTTTGAATATTTTGGAAGCCATTGAATTTTATGTTTTAAATAGCTGACTTGAAGAGTATATAAATTATATCTCAATAAAGCTGTTTCTAAAAAGAAAAATGCATATGGACACATACAACACATCAATGATATAAAAATACTGAAAATGCATCTGGGGATATGGCTCAGTTKGTAGAGTGCTTGCCTCACATGTACAAGGCCCTGGGTTCAATTCCCTGCACCACCAAAACAAACAAACAAACAAAAAATGAAAAATGCAAATAACACTATTGTCCAGAAACATACATGAATGTAGTAGAGGCACAGAAACCAGCATGTGAATAATAAGAACACAAACTGGGAAGGCTGTGGCAAACCCAGGAGGGGATGGTTAGTGCATTAGGGAGACACTGGGTGGAGAAACATTTAACTCTTAAGCTTGATGGTGTAACATAGATGTTCTTGCTATTATGTTCACACCTTGTTTATTAGCTTTTAATTCTTTGTAAAAACTTTTTATGGCCATTTCCCAATATTTTAGAAGCTAGATATGTGGCTTTGATATAGAAAGGTCAAAGACTGGCCTCAGCGTCCCCTGGACTGAGTGAGCACAGTGCTGGACAAAAAACAGCCATCCCTGCAGGTTCCCTGAATGGAATCCAGCAATTTCTTGAACCATCTCCAGAACATCCTTCCTTCTTGCTGGTGGTGTACAGCAGTAGCTCAACCATACAGCCAGAGACCCCTGGTTTGAATCTCCACTGTGAGCCTGCTTCTTAGCAGAATGGCCTTTTGCAAATTGCTTCACTTCTCCGAACTTTGCTTTCTTATTAGTTAAATGGGAATAATACCAGTTACCCCTCAAAATTGGTGCTGACTGAATAGAAAAGGTAAGGTCTCCTCTGGTGTTTAAGGGCCCTGCCTGCTGTTGATGCAGTTCCTGCAGAAGCTGGGCTCTCCCTGCTCATCTCAGGGAGGTAGGCTGTGCTGGGTCCTATACTCCTTGGCATGCTCTACCAGTGGCCATGAGTGAATACTGGCAGAGTAGGACTGACTTGTAGAGCCCCATCATCYCTTCTCTCTTCCTAACTGCTTTGAAAAACAAAGGGAACAAAAGGCCCTCAAAGACAGCTCCTTTCACTACTATTAAAAACAACAACAACAACAGCAATATATCTAGATAGATAGATAGATAGATAGATAGATAGATGATATAGATAGAATAGATATAGATAGATAGAGAGAGATATAGAGATAGATAGATATAGATAGATGGATAGATATAGATAGATATAGATAGATAGATAGATCATTTTTTTGTATTCCCAGCTGGTCATCAGCTGCTGGACACTCATAGGGCAGGGGCAGGGGCCCAAGGCCCAGGGATAGGATGAGGGTAGGAATGGCTATCTGTATGGAAGCTTCCCTCATAGGGGGGAAGCTCCCTCTGCATTTTGTGGAGACTGAGGTTGAATGCCTTGGCTCAAGCCCTCAGAAGTAAGATCCAGGCACATCTAGGGGAGAGCTGGACCTCAGGAACTGGGCCTGAGAACCAGGAAGGTCAATAGGATTGGGATTGTATTGTAGCTGAGCAGGGGAGATAGAAATCCCTCTGTGTGTAGGAGCAGCTGCAGAACTGTTGCCCTGGATGCCATTCTCCATGTTGAACAGAACATAGAAAGTGCATCCTCTGAGCTCTGGGCTCTGAAGCCTCCTGTTCAAATGTCAGTCCTGGCACAGAGCTCTCAGTGTGATTTCTCAGTGGTAAGCCATTTCTCTACTCACTCAGGGACTTGGCTGGTTTGTTTGTAAGTGCAGAGGTCCCTCTTCCTGTTTCAGGTCTCTGCACCATCTAACAACATTTTGTGGCTAGTGAGAAAAAAAGCAGGGAGGAAGAGCCATTTGGGGCCTATGGGCTCTGTCCTGGCCATGGGGAGACCCCAATCAAAGGACCTCATGTGACATAGATGCAGGTCAGACCTAAGGCCTCCTTTATATCACTTCTGGCAACCTATGTGGCCCCACTGTACTGCAGTGACTGACCTTACTAACCTATGGTCTTTCTGATCTAAGACAGAGAAGAAGGGGATAGGTGGCTTTGTGAATGAAGGGAAAAGTGAGAATCATTGTCTCCACCCTGAGCTCATTTTCTGATGTCTAGTGGGCCACTCTCCTACCCCTAAAAATGAGGTACCTATAGAAATCAGAGTCCAGGACTACCACCAAGCCTTCTCTAAAAGCTCTTAGGAGCCATAGCTGACTGCCCATGGCTAGTGCCCTCCTCCCAACGATCTTCCACTCTGCTGCCAAAGCTACATCTCTAAAAATCCAGTGGAAACATGCAAACCAGCCTTCTAGATCTTACCTACCAGCTCCTCCCACTGCTACCCACAGTTGGGTTTCTCCTTGGCCTGCCTTGAGTTTTTAACACCGCACACTATTCCTCCCCAACAATTGCTGTTGAGAGCTAGTGCAGCGCCTCCACAGGCAGGTGCTCCTGGGGGAGCAGCCTCCACCATTCCCCACTGTCTCACACCAGCCTGCTTCCCTCGATATATCACCTGCAGGGCATCTGCCACACCTGAGTTCCCCCCTCTTAGTTTCTAGGAAAAGACTTGTAGCATATCAGAGAGGGAGAGAGGGGAGAGGAGGGAGGGAGGGAGGGAGGAAAGGAAGGGAAAAAGACTGGGAGGAAGGAGGAAAGAAAAAAAGGAGGCAGGGAGGAAGGGAARAAGGGAAGAAATTCCTCAGCTATGTTGGGGGATCCAGAGTGGATCCAGCAAAGGTCTTTCTTGTCAGGACTTCTGTGCTCATTCTGCAGAGCACGGTGGTGAGTGCCTCCATCTGAACACCCACCATTGTGCCTGTCACTGTGCCCCTGGGAGCTGGAACCCACTCTGGGGCTGCTCCCTGAGTTCCACACAAAGCAGGAAAGAGGAAGCACTAGGAGCTTGTGGGGGTGAAGGGCAGAGATAGACAAAAACAGCAGAAGCAGAGGGAAGTGCACACGGGGCAGAGGAGTTCTGCTTAGCAACCACACAAGAAAATTAGAGAAGAGACRGGACCATTAAAATAAAATACCACTCCTCACACACCCACACCCACTAATCTTTCTTGTGGCATTTGGCTCAGTGTTGGTGAGAAATTGCAGGTCTCCTGTTAGAGTGAGCACCATTATTGAGGAAGCCCCGCCATCTTGGTTGATGTGCAGGAATCAGTTCTTCACCAGCTTGATGGTAGCACTCTGGAGGGCCCTGGAGGGAGCGTGGGAAGTCCTATAAGAGACTATAAGTCCTATAAGTCCTCCCCTTTGCCTGTTTCACCTTTTCTTTCTAGCTCTCAGCTCTTCCTCCTCAGCCTACCAACATCTAGAAGAGAAAGGAAAGTGTCCAGGGTTTTCCCTCACCCCATTTTTTCCCCAGAATCCCACTCCCAGCCCCAACCCTGTTCTTTCCTTCCCACTGAAAATCCTCCCTTGATTTTCTTTCTTAATTTGATTTTATCTGGCTCTGAATGAATATCAAAGGAGGAAATTCTTTCCAGTCTTTAAAATATAATTCCCAGAGTCTCCCACTAGCAGATGTATACATAATGATTATAATTATTTAAAAGAAATCTTTCTTGCTCCCTTGCCCTCTTCTTTTCAACCTCTCCTGCAGGCTGAGAAAGAGAGATTCTAGAGTGTCCTTGTGGTTGCARGTGGACCAGCATACATCAAATTCTTCTAGTCAAAGTGGGAGATGCACTCGCTCTCTCTTGGAGCATGAGGAAATTGCAGATGGTACAGGCAGCTACCTGCTGGAAATAAACACAACTGAATCACCAAGTGGGAAATTTACTCCCTTTCTAATTTGTTTTCAACTGTTTTAATTTCATTGAGTCTCAAGTCGGTGCTAGATAAGTCACTAACTCCTCCTGGCCTTTCTTAACCTTTCTTTTATTGATATCTTCAACGGACCCCAGATGGGAGCCCAAAGCAGCTCGCTATTCTCTTACGGCTGCCGCAATCCGGCTGCACGAGCSGCWGCAATCCGGCTAGACACAGAAACACGAACCGCTCAAGCGGG